AGTGTGTAAATATGTAGGCTACAAGTGGTAAACTTTAACTCTTTAATGTTAAATTTTGCATCTCCTCTCCCTGTTGGATGTTACGCATTTTTTAACTGTAAAGACTGGACTATTTCAGTTCACCAGAAAAATGATGGGAATGGAAGGGACAACAAACAAAACAAAGAGATTTAATCTCATTTGAGTGCTCAGTTTTAACATACAGTGGTGTAAGATAAATTGAATGGTTGTTTGAACGTGTTATCTGAGATAGCATGGTGGCTAATGTTGGACCAGCAGATGATGAATCATATAGTGTTTGTCAGTAATCCGATTATGTTGTTGCTCTGGAGGACAGATAAATACAAGAGTGTGAATGTGAGGTAACTCGGTGCGTTAAGGTGAGAAACAAAGGCACAGGTGTCCAAATCCACTAAAACACCTCCAGGGAATGAAGATGGGGAACGCTAAGCCTCTCAGTTTAAGTGGAAAGAAGTGCAAGTTGAGGTAAACGACCGCAGATGGAAGTAATTAATGAGCTTTACAGAAGAACAGCAAGGAAGGAAGAACAAAATACAGTGGGAGGCTAGGAGCTCAGCAAAAGTAAGGCAAACAGAAACAATAGGATAAATTGCCAGACAGACCTAACAGCTGTGTCAGATTAGGTTACCATAGTTACAAGTGTCCGTCCCACTGGCTAACAACAGGCAGGGCAAGACTCTCCAGAGGTCATGATATCAGCATGACCAATAAAGAGGTGTTGTCTATTTGAATGTGGTCATCCCTGTGACCTCAGGTAACCTCTGTAAATTGACAGATTCAGAATTCAGCAGTTTAACTCATTTCACCGTCACCAGAGACCAGTGGAAGAATGGAGATAACTCTGCGGTTTGTTTTTAGCTTTGCACTAGAGAAAAAAATCTGTCTGTCTAAATTGCTAAAGATAAAAGTCTCTTATGCTTCCTAAGGATGAATTTATTTGATCAAAAATAGTCAAAATGGTCATATTGAAGTATTATTGCAATTTAAAATAACTGTCTTCTGTTTAAAATTTAGTTTTTTCTGTAATGTCAAAGCTGAATTTAGCAGCCATTACTCCAGTCTTCAGTGTCACATGATGCTGATTTAGAGCTCAAGTAACTTTTTTTTATTAATATCAATAGGGGTGGGCGATATGACCAAAAAAAATGTATATCACAATATGAGTAATTTTATTTCACGGTAACGATATACAGTGGGTACGGAAAGTATTCAGACCCCCTTAAATTTTTCACTCTTTGTTATATTGCAGCCATTTGCTAAAATCATTTAAGTTAATTTTTTTTCCTCATTAATGTACACACAGCACCCCATATTGACAGAAAAACACAGAATCGTTGACATTTTTGCAGATTTATTAAAAAAGAAAAACTGAAATATCACATGGTCCTAAGTATTCAGACCCTTTGCTCAGTATTTAGTAGAAGCACCCTTTTGATCTAATACAGCCATGAGTCTTTTTGGGAAAGATGCAACAAGTTTTTCACACCTGTGGCTGCAATATAACAAAGAGTGAAAAATTTAAGGGGGTCTGAATACTTTCCGTACCCACTGTATATCACAATATAGTTATTTTTGCTTTGAATAAGGTCTTTATGATAACAAAATATTTGCTACCATACAAATTTTATAATTCTTGTCACCAGTGTCTATATAACAAAAAAAAAAACGAATACGATTCTAAATTAAAAAAAATAAAAACTCAAGCTCACTGAGGACAAGTAAACAATCAGCGATTAAATGGGAATAAGAAACTAATTACAATAGGACAAAAAATACAGTAGAACAAATAAATAAGAAATGCTACATAGTACATACATCGTATAAAGTAATTAAATGTATAAAAACACTGCATATTCTTCACTGTGTAAATGAAATATATATTTCTTATTAAAGTTACAAAAGTGATTTAGTCAAGAGAAGTGTGAGATTTTCTCTCTTTTGTTGTGATTAACATGAATGACAGACAGCAGGAATATTAGACTGCTGTCACTTTAAGAGCTGCCCGGAACGAATATACTGTTACACATGTGTTTTCTTTCTCGGCTGTTTGCTTTTGCTTAAGACCTTACTGTGTTCATGAAGATACTAGGAAAGATGGGCATTTTGACCCATACAAGTGTGTGTATTTAACTGTTCAAGGCATATAAAGCGAAATGAGTTCTCTTTCATTGTTGATTGCATTTCAAATCTTCCTCAAACAGTTTTCCATATGTCATGGAAATATCTTCTCATATCAGACTTTGACTGTCACTTAACTAGACTAGCGGCTTGTTGTGTGCTCAGACGTGCGTGTTTAGGAATAGTTTAGGTTAGTGTTTAGGAGAGCAGTAGTGTATGTTTGTGAAAGCATGAATGAGGGTATGGTGGTCAGTTTATTTTAGTTCCTCAGGTTGAGATGATGATGCTACAGCAAGCCCCACAAGCTAGAATGCGTCTGATTGGCTCCTGGTATGTTGCTATGGAGGGGGAGGCTGCCTTTTTATTGGTTAATACTGCCTGGCCCCGAGCTGGTAAGCTTAGCATCTTTTCATTGTTATGGTCACAGACAGAAAGTGGAAGGTCATTATTGTTAGACATCTGACTGATCTATTGATGTTTAATGATGTTAATCTCTGTGCCGGATTGCAGTTTGGTTTGGTTTGCCAGGGATTCTCTGCCACGTGGGGGTTGACGTAAACTGAGCTTTGATTATCCCTAAATTAAAGATAATTACTAAGGCATGTGTTTTGTATGACAGAGCAGGGGAGAAAATAGGGAGGGAGTGTAACCGAATGAACAATGTTCTCACGTTCAACTCGGACTGGCTTCAGGGGAATTATGGGCTAGGGATATACAGCACTATAGTTTCATAATCTACTCCGTCCTCAGTGGGTTTTCAGAATGTCTAGTTGACTAGTCTGTTTTAAGGAAGCCTGTATAATTAAGTTGGTTTAGGGCCATGCCCACCAGATCAGACGTGTTTCGTAGAATGTGTTTTTGCATTCAGAAACAGCACAGATGTACATAACACTGCAGAAAGAAAAAAGAAATCAGCACAGCTATTGTGGCGTTGCTTTAAAGATGATAAAGTTGGGGAAACAGCTTTTTTTTTTTTTTTAAACACACTCTCAGTATAACACCCTAAAATCCATTTTTTTAGCTTTTAATTCACATCCTTTAAATTGCAGCACCTAAAATATTAAAGATAAAACTAACATTATATATAAGTGACTTGATTTAGTCAATAAATTATTCATTATCACTATTCAACTATACAAGTCAATTGATTGCAAAAGCAATGAATTAAAAAAAAATGAATTAAAATGAATTGTAGTATTGTTCATTGCAAATGCATTGCAAGGATTTTATGTTCTTAATGGCTGTTTTTATTATAAATCATGGTTGCAATTAATTGAAATTAACCACTTTGCAGTTCCCACCACTACTGGTCAAGAGTTCTGACACATCACTACTTTTCACTGTAATGTCAAAGTGCATTTGCATAAATTAGAGAGATGGATAAAGAAAAAAGTAGAAGAATTAGAAGAACTGAAGTTGTCTGGCTGAGTTCGGTAGTAAACAGTGCCAGAACAATTGCACAGCTGTCAGAGGAGATGTGGCCATTGATTAGATTGCGATCATTTAGATAAAGAAGACCTGACCGCAGAACAGTTATTAGGCATCTTTAAGCACACAATGAACCAAAACTATGTGACAGAGGAGAAGGGCATGACTGAACAAGCGGTGGAGGGGAGGAAGTGAGTGGGGGGAGATAAAGAAAGAGAGAATGAAGAGTAAAGCAGAGAATAAATGGAACGCAAACTTCTGTGAGTGAGTTATGGCCTTATATATCAGTAGTGTCACATGGATATATTTGTTTCATAAAAGTAGCCTTACATGACCCAAAATCCTTTCCAAGGAGCCTCACTCACAATAGTTAAGTTCAAGGGAAAGGGTAAACGGAAAGAGAGGGAGAAAAGGAAAACAGGAACATGGGAGTCTCTCACCTCCTCTTTGTTATGGATTGCGGGTGGAGTGAATATAATTCTAAACCTGTAAAACTTCAATACTGTGCTAGAAATAGGCCTGGCTAATTGTACAAGGGAGTTTTTTTTACGTTTGATTTTATATATTTATATAGCAAATCTGTTTTCTGATATAACATCCAAAAATGTAAAATATAATTCAGTAATTTATTAAAATTTGGATATACAGTATAAATCTTAGCCTGTTTTACCTGCATACATCACATAAAGCAGTATGTGCACTTTTAGAAAAAAGGTACAAAAGCTGTCACTGGGGCAGTATCTTTTCAAAAGGTGCATTTTTGTACCTTTTAGGTGCTACAACACTATATATATTAATATGTACATTTAAGGTGCCAAAGTGGACCCTTTAGGTATAAAAGTGTACCTTTTGAAATGGTACTGCACCAATGACAGCTTTTGTGCCTTTTTTTCCAGAGTGTACTGTAATCTTAGCTGCGTGATTGTTTATATCGTAACATGTAAACCGTATCATCACACAGCTCTTTGTATCAAGTTGGATATATATTATATCCAGCCTTATATATAGGTATGTCCAACTTTACACATACATACAGTATATTTTTGTAGGGCAATATATACTATATAGATTATCTCAACTGCTAGATTTCTTGTATTGTCGCTAGATTGTAAGTTATATTATCATCCAGTTTTAATCTGCTAACTTTTAAATGAAGATAAGACATTTTAAACATTAACATCATGATTTTCTGTAAAGCTGCTTTGAAACTGTGTATTTTGAAAAGCTCTATACAAATACATTTCACATGACTAGATTTTCCATGTTGAATTTGCAACTTCTAGTCTTCCAATATTATGTTTTTATGAGCTAAGGTGTTATATAACATTTATTTTCTTCTCTCTCTTACAGGTAGATTCATGTGGACGCGAGGTGTACCCTGATTTCCCAGCCCCTCCCCCTTCCCTCAGTCACCCCCTCCCTACAATGATTTCCCAGCCCCTCCACCTTCCCTCAATCACCCCCTCCCTACAACCTGTTCACTCCATCCAGCACACTACGGTCACCATGACGTCCACCTTGCAGACCCTAGCCTTTAAGCTGGCCCCTCCCTCAAGAGAAGCTGGACCAGAGCAGTTGGAACCTTGTAATGACGGTGCGGGGCGACGTTATGAGGTGGTCCCCTCAGTGGTCTGCTCTATGTGCTGTCTCTTCAGAATCATCTATTGCTTCTTTGGTGAGTTGAGTCTTCATGTTTACTTTTGCATCACCAAGAGGCAATATTTGTATTACCACAAAATAATGTTATTATTTTTATAGGCAAAAACTTATAGATAGCTTGTAATTTTTCAGTCTGTTTCTGTGTCAAACCAATGTTCTTATTCCAAAACTTTTTTTTTTTTTGCCCACTTTTAAATATTTCATGAGGTTCTAAATAAGGTCATGGCTTGTATAACTGTTCTGCACTCTACTTGAGATGGGCACAGATTTAAAGGGGACATAATATTCTACTCTTTTGTACCATTTAGTTTTTTCCTCTAAAGTCCTCTTTTCTTGTTAGTCATCAGCTGTCATGTACAATTTAATGGATGTTTTTGATATACCTTTAAGCCTATCGTGAGTGAGAAAGGCAAACAATAGCATTGAATGGGCATTGATAAGAAAATGTGGGTGATCGTGTGTTAAAATGCCTATAGTTGTAACATAAAAACCATGATGATTTCTGTATTACTGTGTAATAGGGATACATAATATGTCAGTACTTTATTGTTATCAGCTATATTAGATTTTTTTTCATTTATAAGTATTGGTCAGTATTGAATATTTAAATTTGCATGCTCATTTCCTCGATTTTTACATTTTAGATCACCTTTGTTGTCATCTAATGCTTGCTTAAAGTTAACATTTAAAAACAATTTAATTTAATAACACTTGTTAATAACCCTGTAAAGGGTTATCATATTTGATGTATGAATTTTTAAGGCCTCTTTTTTAATAACATGATTTTTTTCTAAATTTGTTGCACACAATCTACTACATGCCTTCTTTTAGTGAGTAAACATTGTTCTATACAATGAGACAACATTGTATAGAATTTTTATATCTGCCATAATAATTGGCTTGTCTGTATGGGGTATCAGCCGGAAATAATATGGGTACATCCCTACTGGGGAGTTTTGAATGTTAGAGTTTCAAATCAAAATATTAAAATATTTTATATAAAAAAATAATAATAAATAAATAAAATAAATAATGCTATGTCCCATAAACTTGGTTTTTGGCTTTCCCTTACGTTTGTGCATCACCCTGTAAAAGACGTTTTACGATGGTGTAGAGCTGGAAATATTATACATGAAAGGCATAATCCTGAGTGAATCAACCTCAAAGTCACTTTTCCATATTGAAAGTGTTGAACTGTTAATAAACTGAGCAGAATTGTGGTCTCACACTATTGTGCTATTCTTGAGCTGTGAAATCAACCACTCTGTGCATTTCCAGTGTTTATCTGTCTAGCTATTTTTATCTTTTTCTTCTCCCTACTTCACTCTTTCTCACATTTTTTTCACTCACTCAGTTCTCACCTCCTGTTCTTTCTCTGTATTGCAGGTTACCGCTGTTTTAAGGCTGTACTCTTCCTCACGGGGCTCATGTTTGGTTCTGTAATCATCTTCCTGCTCTGTTACAAGGAGCGAGTTTTGGACACGCAACTGAGCGTTGAGGCCAGCGTGGGCATTGGCCTGGGCATCGGCACCCTGTGTGGACTGGTGACCATGTTGGTACGCAGCGTTGGCCTTTTCATGGTGGGGCTGCTCCTGGGCCTGCTGGTGGGCATCGGGACCCTGATAGGAATGGAGGAGCTGTCGTCCAACCCCCCGCGGTCAGTATGGGTGCCCCTGGGCGTCCTGCTGGGGCTGGGCATGCTGTTCGCCGTCCTCACCCTGCAGTGGCAGAGATGCTTCACCACCCTCTCCACAGCCGTGTTTGGGGCTGCAGTGATAGTTGTGGCTACGGATTATTTCGTGGAGCTCTTCGCGCTGGTGAGGTACATTTACGAGCGGGTGAAAACGGGCCCCCGGGAGCCGGTGTGCTGGACGACGTGGGTGGTCCTGGGAGCCTGGCCTGCTATCGCCCTGCTGGGTGTTTTGGTGCAATGGAGAGTGACGGCAGAGGGCTACTCCCACACGAAGGGTGAGTCAGGGACAGACAAAGTGTTGTTTGGAATATATGACACACTGTTCTTGTGGATTTACTGTACCGGAGAGGGAGAGAAGGTTGTATGAATGTGTGCAGCACAGCAGATGGTTCCTGTCTGTCGGTGTGCTCTCAGGCCTGTGTGAATAATGATCACAGAAACATCATGCAGAGCAGAGTATCAGTTCATGGAGAGGCTCTCTCTGTCTGTTTGTCTGTTTCCGGTACAGTAAAGTTGTGTGTGCACTGAATGGTTTATAATGTCCAACAACTTAAAGAAAGAGTTCATCCAAACATGAAAGTATGGCACTATTTCACCCTCACGGCATTCCAAAATTGTATGATTTCCATGGAACACATGAGAAGTTTAATAGAACGTGCAAAGTGCTCTTTTGAAAGTGAATGAGCACAGATATTTCAAACTCCAAACATGACAGTAAAAGTACCAAAGTAGTCCATGCAAGGGCAGAATGATTAATTTAAATAAAATAAAAATTAGTTTTGTGTCTTAGTGCGATTATCAAATAGTAAAGGCTGCAATTTAATTAGATAAATATACGCACAGCAGATTTTAAAGCAAAGTGTGACACTGTGTTTATTTACACACATGCAGCTTATGATCCAGTGTTTTCAGTGTTTCAGGAGCATTTATAAAGAGAAGAAGCTTTTAATGTGGCATGAAATGGATTTGTTTTTTAAACACGTTATAGATCTTATTGTGAAAGGTTCATCCATTGCATATGTTTAATTTTCACCTTGTACGTTTTTACACCTTAATCAAAAGTCATAAATGTACCTTCTAGTGAAAATGACCCCCTTCTCTCTGATGATGTATGCAGGACATAAATCATTTAGTCCACTTAAACCCACCACTGCAAGCTCGTGTTCAGCTGCATCCACTTTCAAATCCATGTCTCAAAATCCTATCAACAATCAATGCATATAACCATGTCTTGCCTACTTTTTTCTTTGTTGATGGTCCGTTACTCACATGTACATCACAATACAGAAAAAAACGTCTGTCGCTGTTTCAGTTTTATCATGTCTTTAAGGTATCCCAGTAGTTTTCCAACAAAATAAAAGCTTGATGATTTAACATTTGAACAGTTGTACTGGGGGAAAAAATGTAGTAGTAGTAGTAGTATAGTGATAGTGAATAGTGAAATAGTATTTCTTATTTTGTTTAAATTTTTATTTAATAATGTTCATTATTATTATTATATGATATATAAATCACAAACTTTCAAACAAATTGCACAGCCCTACAAAAAAGCACAGCTAGCTATCCTCTTAACAGAGCATTTAGTGACTGTTTACATACACCGTTTGATTTCAAGGTTTTTGCAGAAAGCAGCTTTCTGAAGCATCATGTAAACCCAAAATCATTTTCTTTATGCCGTTTAAGGGATTAAGAGAAAGTGTTACACCTGGGTTTGTGCCAGAGAATGCAGCTTAAATGGCCATGTAAACACATATGTAGGATTTTAAAGAGTATGCATGAGAGAAGAACGGATAACTAAAGTAAAGTAAGTGTGGAGAAAGCCGCTTACTGGCAGATCCACATATTACCACACACACACACACACTCTCATCCGGTGCTGACCTGACCCTGGGTCCCGCACGCACAGAGGCTTGGGGCTCCTCACCATTCAGAACTGAACAATGAAAGCATTTCTAACTATAATACCGGATGCATCATTCCGAGACCACGGTTGTATTAAAGAGCTGCTTTCACAAACACAGTTACACTAACACACTTTACCTGAACATGTGCCTGAGATGTGGCATTCTGTTCACCTAATACGGAAACCATTATGAGGTGGTTAAAAAAAACATCAATCTGGGCTCCACTCTGTTAAATTATTTTCAAAAAACGTCTGTGATGAATTAGTGTGTTGCCCGTTCATCAATGTTTCACGATATTGCGTTTCTGTTTGTAACAAATTCATCAGTTGGTGCTGAATCTTGTCTTTGTACTACAACGCTGACTGCTATTTGGAAGTCAGCCGTTCCTCCTCTCATAGTAAAGTCTGTGGATTCCACCAGTCAGTGTCTGTATTGTGAGATCCCGCATTCCGGCCCAGGACTGTACCAAATACCGTCGAGCAGGGGTGCCTTCGAGACACCACTAAGAAACTCTCTCAGGAGAATCCAACTCCTTAGCCTTGTTTCAGAAAGGCTGTAGGGCAAAGAGCCATATTACTGCTGATTAGAGCCACCTGGTCCACTCTGGGATGCAGAGCTGAATGCCTGGTGATGAAAAGAACGAGGACAAGATGGAGGAAATGAGCGAAGATGATACTCAGGGACAGCGTGAATGTTTTTGAGTACTGGGGGAAGAACTATAAAGTACATGGACACAGAATAATGATGCAAAAACTGTAGATTTGTCCCCTCGGAGGCGAGTGCAACGGATGGCACCATGAGCGTTCAGTTACTGCTGTGTATAAAACTAGTGAACATAATAGGGTGTCCAGGAAGACATGATGGTTGAAGAGCAAACGTCCTTCTTAAAAGATCCCCACAGTCCTTTGGGGCAAACTGCATGACATAAGCACCCACATTTTCCTTTCCACAATGCGTTTTCAGGCCCATCTTCATACAGACAATTGAAATGAGCAGATTCTGCCATGGTGTCTCTCTTTTTCTTTTTCTTTTTTTTATTCTGCAAAGCAGAAAATCTATGTTATGTACATAAAATGCACATTTAGTATATCCATTTCAACGTGGCCTATCATATTTATTAGATATTGGTTTATTTCTAATTAATTGTTTTTCAAGGGATCCCGAGTCCCGACAGGTGAATGGATGGTGGTATTTATTAGTTTGTTTGTTTGTTCGGTTTTACATGCATAGTCATGATTTCTTTATAACTTACCGTTTCTTTATAACTTACCGTTATAACTTTATAACAGAGTGTCGTCTTAAAGACAGAAAGTCTTCATGCAATGAAACCTTTGACAATCTGACATCAACATTTTTGTTTTTGGACACTGTACAACAGCATGTGTTTGTATGGGCCTGGTTATTATAGTAAACTTTGTGAATTCACTGTGTCTCTTGTGATCTGTGATTCATCTCTCTATTTCTGTCTGGGCATATTTGGACTCATGTATAGGTGAACAGACGCACACAGAAACAAACACACAGAGAAAACATTAATGGAATGTGTTGGCTTAGGTATCTTTAATTAATTTTTTCTTATGCTTGGCACCATCCTCACAGTTCTCTTTATCATTTCATGTTATCCAAGTCTGCTTTCTGCTTCTGTTCTCTCCATTTACTGCACTCACCTTACTATTTCCGTCCTTCTTTTACCTTATCTGATACTTGAAGTTTAATCAACCTTACATTATTCCAAACTGACATATAGGTTATAACTGGACTAAAAATGCTTAAAAATACAAATTTAAAAAGAATGTGATCGCTCTCTTCTCCCGCTCATGCAGATGTGCTTATATCCCTTTTAGGATGTGTGGAGAAACAAAAGAAACTACAGATTATGAAAAACTGTCCTAAAGGTTTTATTTTTATCTTGGTTTGATTGTTTGGTTGCAGCTCCTTGTCCGAGGGTTACATGATGTCCTGCTGGTGTTGTGTAGATTCACTCACCACCTGTAGGGGGGCAGTAGACTTATTTAATTAAGACTTCATCTGCTCTTTGTCGACAGGCAGCCAATTTGTGAGGAAATCACTCCTGCAAAGCATTTTTTCCCCATTTTATTTATTGGTTTATAGTATTTAAGTACTGTAATCAAATATTTTTTTATTTTACTTAAGTCGTTTATTTTTATTGCACCAAAGATGACCCTAATATTGCAAAGGATGTTAAGGTTATATACGGGAGGGAATGAAAGAAGACAGCACTGGGATGAACTGAAGTGTGTGTGTGTGTGTGTACACATATCACACCTCCCCATCATGCGTCTCGGTGGTCTTGATCAGGACTGTTTTCTTTGAGTGCATTTCAGATGCTCTCTGTTGGTGCTCTGGACTCGTCTCTGTTGAAAATTATATTTAATTAAATAAATATACACTACCATTTTAGTAGCACACATTTTACATACATAGATTTTAGTAACACTTTACAATAAGGCCCTATATTAGTAAACATTAGTTAATGCTTTAACATTAACAAAGAATGTGGAATACATTTGTTACAGTATTTCTTAATCTTTTAAAACTTTTTTTAGTTAAATAAGTTATCTCAGTTCCATTAACAGATACAACTTTTGATTTTAGTAAGGTATAAAATGTTGAAATCAACATTAACTGAGATTAATAAACATTTTAGATGTATGTTTTATTGTTAGTTAATGTTAACAGAAGGAACCTTATTGCAAAGTGTTACCAACGTTACTTATTATTACTTATGTTGAAAATAGTTCTGCTTAATATTTTTGTGTAAACCTTGATACTTTTTTGAGCATTTTCAGAATTCTTTGATGAACAGAATGGTTAAAAGACTAGCCTTTATTTGAAAGATTTTTTTTTAGAAACCAAACAAAAATGTGCATCTGCTGAATAAAATTATTTCTTTCTAAAAAAAAAAAATTACCAACCCCAAATATTATAAATATTAACTATAAATTATACTACCTGTTTTTAACTTTGATTTAAATCGCTGTTTACCTCATGTTTTGTAATTAATAATAATAATAATTTTATTTTAAATTATTTACAAGACATCACAAATTGCAGGAATCTGTGCCGGTAGGTACAACTCCTGCTAGAGGCCTCTGAGGAAACATATCTACAACATTTTTAGTATATCGCATGGTTTCCATCTTACCTCTAAAGCTTATAGTGGAATATGACTGCATGGGTATCACAATCCTTTAACGTGAGAGAATAAGAAAGGTAAAAAGTAACAAAAAGCCATCAGAATAAGCAGAAAGGGTGGAGTATGTTAAAAACAAGAAGGACAAATCCTTTTCATTTCCTTTGTACCTGCTCTCCTCTCCTTCCAGCAGTTTCCTGTAGGTGGCGATCTCCACATCCAGGGCCATCTTAACATTGAGCAGGTCCTGATATTCTCGCAGGTGACGCGCCATCTCATCCTTCATGTTGACGATCTCTGCCTCCAGCCTGGCGATGTTGTCCTGGAAAGCACCGGCCTCACGACCGTGGCGATCCTCCATATCTCTCATCTGCCTCATGAGAGACTCGTTCTACAGAGTGAGAGACAAAGAGATGAATGCCACATGGAGAAAGACAAAGAACGTGTATGTCCACATCAGAACAGATAAAACATACGGTGCCCTTGAGGGAGTCGATCTCACAGGTGTAGGACTGAATCTGGTGTCTGTACTCCATGGTCTCCAGCTTGGATTGTTTGAGAGCCTGGTTGTTCTTGCTCACTGCCTGGTTAAGATCTGACACCTAATGGTGAAAATGCAACGATCAAAGTTCAGCAGGTTTCCCGATCATTTATCTCACTCAGTTCACCAGTGTTGTGGAAGCTACTTTGAAACTTTAGTTTTCAAAACCTAAAGCTACTCATAATATAAATACAACAAAGCTACGTTTTATCCCTTGTGCTTGTCAGAAAATCCTTTACTTAATCTGGCGTTCCCAGTCAAAAATAAACTGCCTACAAAAAATTTCTTGGTATGATATATTTTGGCAATAATATATCATACCAAGAAATTTTTTGTAGGCAGTTTAGAAGGCATGTTGCATTCAATCTTTTTCAACTTGTTTTCTTTCAATTAAAACAGGTTTTGTATTTCCTTTTTGTCTCTTATTGATCATAGGCCTCACTGATCTGAGCTTATGCAATTTATAAAGCTTTTATGATCTTATTTAGTTTTTGAGTGAAAAAAGCAATGTGAATTATTCACTTAAAAATAAAAGTGCTTCACGATGCCATAGAAGCACCTTTTTTGTCTAAATGGTTCCATAAAGAACCTTTAACATCTGAAGAACCTTTCTGTTTCACAAAAGTTTCTTTGTGGCGAAAGAAGGTTCTTCAGATTATAAAAAAAGGTAAGAAAGAGATGGTTCTTTGTGGAACCAAAAATGGTGTGTTTTGGCAAAGTACACTCAAAACTGAGCCAAATAAACTCTGATCAGTGAGACCTATGATCAAAAAGAGTCAAAATAGAAATACAAAACCTGTTTTAATTGAAGGAAAACAAGTTGTGAAAAAGATTGAATGCAATATTTCACAATAATATAGCATAATAAGAAATGTATTTCTTAGGGGGGAGGGGGGATTTTTTATGTCCTAAAACAGTACAAAAAGTACCAAAAAAAAAGTATTGGAAAGAAAGTTCTTATACCCTGTGTGAGTAAAGTCTGTAAGTTTTAGTCCAATGTGATAACATTAACTATCATTTTCAGGAAAGAAAATCTTTTCTGGGTTACATTGACCAGAACACAACGTAAGGTTTAAAAAAGTAGGATTTTAGACCTAAATGAAAGTGTTCAAAAGGGACGAGACATCCAAGAGTATAAATTTATTAGTGTTGCTTGAGACACTTTGGGGATACGTTGCCAGAGACGAGACCCTGAGGTATCTTAAGTCAGGTGCATAGGGGAATGTATAAAATGCAGCTGTGATACCTAATGGTGAAAATGCAAAGGTCAAAAATCAATAGGTTCTTTCTTTCTCTTCTTCTGTCTCACCTGTGACTTGTACCAATCCTCAGCCTCTGCGATGTTCTTTGCAGCGATGCCCTCATACTGAGCACGGATGTCCCCCAGGGCAGCAGTCAGGTCCGGTTTGGACATGTCCATCTGGATTTGGACTTGAGTCTCTTGCATCTGGGCCTGCAACTCACGAATTTCCTACATATAGAGAAAGAAAACGCTTGTGTGTATGTGTTTGTGCTTGTTTTAATAAAGCAGCATGGCATTGCTGATAGGGCTAGTGGCAGGACTAATCTCAAACATCCACACACAGCTGGCCCTGAAACAGAGGCTTGTCGTGCTGTTTTAAAGTAGCTGTGTAATCTCCAGAAACAGATGCAGCTCTATAATAGAGCTCTGAGATGAGATTCACTCAGCTCAGCAGTGTTGTGGAAGCTACTTTGAAACTCTAGCTTTCAGAGCATTAAGCTACTTGTAATTGAAAACTACGGTGAAGGGGGGGGTCTACACTACACATTACTAACTAAAATGTAGCTAGACCAAAGTTGAGAATAGTTTAAATATAAAACTATTAAAATTGTATAATTGGTCCCACTTTATCTTAGGCATCTTTGACTACTGTACTAGGCTACTATGTACAAATAATTGTGTGGTACAGTGTATTTACTGTGTTCTAAACACTTTTGTTATTACTGAGATGGAATACGGGTAAGGTATGTAAGGTTTAAGAGGTGGTTTAGGGGTGGGTTTTGGGTCAACAGTATAATTAGATGTAATTACATTAATGTATTTTTTAAACATAAGTACAATGTAAAAAAACATGTATGTAAATAATACAAAAAAGCAGAGGGTCTGAGTTATGGGTACAACATTAAACAAGAATAGGTAACTTTATATGAAATACAAAAAAGTAAACCTAATATACACTACCATTAAAAAGTTTGGGGTCAGTAAGATGTTTCTTTTATTTTGGAAGAAGTAATTTACTTAGTAATGCAATTTATTTCTGCATTAAACTGAGAAAAAGTGACAGTAAATACATATCTGATGTTACAAAAGATTTCTATTTCAAATAAACGCTTGAATGTTTAATTCATCAAAGAATCCTGAAAAACATATGATCCCAATTTCCATTAAAATTACTAATAAGAAGTATCGTGCTACAGAAGACTGGAGTGGCTGCTAAAAATTCATCCATCACAGAAATAAATTACATTTTAAAATATATTAAAATAGAAAACTGAATATTTAAAACTGTAATAATATTTCATAATGTGTAATTTATTTTAAAATGTACTGAATTTTTGTATTAAATAAAGGCATCCTTGGTAAGCATAAAATACTTTCAAAAACATTAAAAAAAAAAAACATTCCAAACTTTTGAATGGTAGTGTAACTGAGTCTAAAATATAGCGACAAATAGGAGAATTTAACTAGATATTGCATTACAAAAAGAGACTGTCATACACAGTCCTAAGTAAAGAGACTCAAATAATTTATTGAATCATTTAACCTTTTTCTTAAGAGATTAACTTGCACAAGCTCTAACACACTGATTCACTAAAATGAACTGAATTTTACAATATAAATATTAAAATGAATAATTTTGAGTTTGTACGAGACAGATGACTATCTGACTCACTGATTGTCTCATGAATCAGCCTTAGCATTACTACAAATAAATCAGTGAATCATTTTTTGACTGAAGAAAGTGATTAATACCAGAGTTTGTATGAGATGTGTTACATTTTATGTTGCCTTGGCTGTAGTCTGGTTTTTACAACATTTTATTGGCACAGACAATAAAAATGAAACGTCCTTAAATGTGCTAACCTCCTCATGGATCTTCTTGAGGAAGGCAATCTCTTCTTGGAGAGTCTCTATACGTCTTTCCAGATCCAGTCGGGCCAAAGTGGCAGCATCCACGTCCTGAAATTGAATGTAATATCAAAATAAAACTAAGCCACATTTTATTATTCATTACTAATGAGAAAATAAAACAATGGAATTCAAGAGAGGGGGTTTTGTGTTTTAGCGGACTCACCGCTCTGAAAGCGGCCAGATTATTCTCTGCCTCTTCCCTCAGTGCAATCTCCTCCTGAAGCCTGGCGAGAAGAAGAGGGAGAATGGGAGAAGGGAGTCGTGTATCTCATATTTATTACAGCCAGCCTATTTCCTTTCCTTTTATAGACTGAACACAGCAACCTCACATAAAGCTTTTCCCGCTGGAAGATGGAGTGGGGCCAGCACATTTATGCTGACTAACTCCTGAATAGGAAGTAAAGCTAGACTATTGTAAACAACATGCTTGATAGGACAATAGCTTCCTTTATAAAGGCAGTTTCCTTAAGCCTTTAATAACCTCTCTAGGCCTGATATAGCATTTTATTTCATTCATAATTGGTTGGTAGCCCAGATTAAGTCATGTTTAATCATTTCTTAGCTTGGTTACATAAAATATCGAGATATAATTTTTTGTCAATATCGCACACCCCTAGTTACTACAGAGACAGGCAATTTGAAACTCTTTTCAGCATTAAATAAAAAACACATTAGAACTCTCCAGTGACCCTGAAACACCTGTGCCCATCGGTCTCTCAGTGGTCTATCAAACTGATTATATAAATTCTCTTCCTTTCCAACTGCTTTTGTTTGTCCATGTTGAGAAGACTGTCCCTACAGTGGCCCAGTAGTGCACAACACAACAAAACCTCCACAACACAACGAAATCGCCACAATACAATGCATATTTACTATAGAACTATAGCGCATAGAAGTAATTTTGTTGTGTTGTGCTAATTTCGTGGCCTGTTTCTGTTGTGTTATGGCTTGTTTCCATTGTGTTGTGTTAATTTCATTGTGTTACGACTTGTTTCCCTTGTGTTGTGCTAATTTCGTTGTGTTGTGGCTTGTTTCCATTGTGTTGTGTTAATTTCATTGTGTTACGACTTGTTTCCCTTGTGTTGTGCTAATTTCGTTGTGTTGTGGCTTGTTTCTGTTGTGTTGCTCCTTGCTTCCGTTGTGTTGTGTTCATTTAATTGTGTTGTGGCTTGTTTTTGTTGTGTTGTGCAAATTTCGTTGTGTTGCGACTTGTTTCCATTGTGTTGTGTTAATTTTGTTATGCTGTGGCTTGTTTCTGTTGTGTTGTGGCTTTTTTTCGTTTTGGTGTTGGTTT